CGCGCCGGTCACAGATAGTCGTTTCAGCAGGGTTGCTAGTAAGCGATAATTTTCTTGTAGAGCTTGAGATTGGTAACGAGTCGAAGTAGTGTCGACATGGCCAGATGCGGTATCTCTTTCGTCGGTGCTTTCCATCTTGGGGTTAGGGATACCAGTTCTGTGCACTGAATAAACTCACAATTACTCTTCCTTCGGCAAATGTTTGGGCAATACCACTTCTGAAATCTTATTTTGCGGCGTCATTGGAGCACTCGAGACGTTCTAGAAAGGGAAGGTTTTACTTATAGTGAACTAGAATATGATCTAGTGACGCGAACCGCAGGCCGCGGCTGCTGTCTCGGCGGTCCGAAACGACACGGACGGCTGCTAGGATTTCTGGCGGTGCCACTGCGCCTTTTCATGTTACGTGAGCGCGCCGGCAGCGTTTTGTCTGTACAGCGTGGTAGTCAATCAGTGCGTGAGTATGTCAGTGATTTTTGTGCGTTGAGCCACCACCACCTGGTGAAACTTGGTCAAGGCCTGGAAGCTCTGCCGCATATGTGAACGAGCTGACGATGCTGGTTGCATTGTGCGCTGTGGTAGCACACAACGCAACCTATGCCGACATTCGGTGACGCGTTCGCATCGGCGTTGCAGTCCCTGCAGCATCACTGCGCTTCGACGAGAAACAACGAACGTTGCATCGTTATCTGTGTGCTGTCGGGCTCTACGGAGCTTTGATGTGTGCTGCTTGTGGTTGTGCTCGTGTTCGTTGGTGAGTGACCAGATTACGAGCAGCTGCGGTGCCAAGGAAGTCAGCATTTCTGCGGAAACCATGAATCTGGGCCGCGAGAGTATGTATTTGTATTCCCGACTGACCAAGACGCGCGGAAGACACAGATACATGCTAGCCCAAGGGATAGTGTCAGCCCAACAAAACATGAAAAAGTAAATGTGCTGCTTTTCTTTCGTTTCGTGTATTGTGTTACACCTAGAACCATGTTATTCCGTGTCACTTTTATCACGCGCGCGTGTTTCGAAGCACGCGTTAAGGCCAATACCAGAAACGGGAAGCATATTGCTGTCGCTTTTTTGTCATTTGCAGGTGTTTAAAATGATTTTTAGCCCGAGTGATCTACATGAGAGGGCCATTGACAGCCAGCAGGAAATCCTAGTGCACACGAGACGCGCTTTTTATTCCTCCGGTTCATGTGCGTGCTTCTCAACCAGTGTTCTTGCGGGACGCGTACCGCGTTCTTGTGGGCCGCGGAAGACAACGAAGCCGATGAGCGTCTTTTGCAAGACGGATTATTGCGTTTCCAGTTCTAACAAGCTACTCTACTGCACGTGTGCCGGTGCAGTCTGCTGCATTTTCTCGCCAATATCGGGATGGAGTTTGTACTTTGTGAGATATACTGCACCAACAAACATGAAACTCGCGACATGTTGGAGCGGAGAACGGATTCTCATTTCTTTGATCCGGGTTGCCCAATTGGTAACCGGGGCACTCCGAAGGCGTCGCTGTCCCAGGGATGTGGATCTCAGCAGAAAGCGGGAGCGCAACCTACGGAGAGTTGACAAGCCTCTGACCAAAACTCCAGTGGTTGTGCGAACATCATTTCGAGCCAAGAAGCATCCTGCGTGAATATGTGCACGTGATAAACGGCAGTGAAGTGCGCATTCCCCGAGGAGAGCCGTCACGGGTACCTGATGCCGTGCCAACGCCAGGTTCTCCACGCAGTAACTAACCTAGTAATTTTACGTTTGCACGAACCAGAAAGTAAACGCGCGTTAGTAGTAACCACTTCCGCAGCTCTGCAGGAGTCCGCGACGGCCCGACAGTGCAGTCGAAGCTGGCATGGATGGATGGATGGATGGATGTGGCTGTACCCTTTAGATCGGGCGGCGGCTAACGCCACCTAGCCGTAATACTTAGTGAACTAACCATTAGCTTTATCTTTTTTTTCCCCTTTAAATAGTGACGTTGAGGACTCGTACTTTGCAGTGAAGGGTTTAATTTTCACTCGTGCCTTGACTTTAGCCACCAATCAGATAACCTCCTTCTAGTTAAATCTACTTGCTTAAAATCTATTTTGCCCTCCCGGTCCCTAAACCCCAGTGCTTTGAAAAACTCTGCGCCATCATCCTGAACTATAAGGTGAAGCCCTTTACAGAACATTATCAAGTGTTCGGCAGTTTCTTCTTCCTCTCCACACGCACTGCATACTGTTGTCTACCCCTTTGTATTTGGCCCGATATGTCTTGGTTCGCAGTACTCCCGTCCTTGCCTCAAACAGTAGAGAACTACCCCGAGTATTATCATAGATCCTTTCCTTGGCAATTTCCTGCTTAAAGGTTCGATAGATCTCTAGTGCGGACTTCTTAATCATACCCATTTTCCACATGTCAGTCTCCGTTTCCTTCACTTTCTTCTTAACCGATAGTTCTTTCTGGTTTGGCCACCTGCTGTTTTCTAAGTATTTACCAGTTAATTTCCTGGTTCGCTTCCTCCATTTTGTATCGACATCCTTCATGTACAAGTAGCTGAAAACCTTCCTAGCCCAACGCTCTTCGCCCATTTATCTTAATCGCTTCTCAAATTTTATCTCGCTGCTAGCTTCCCTGCCCTCAAATGATGTCCATCCCATATCACCTTGTACTCCCTGATTTGGTGTATTCCCGTGAGCTCCTAAAACAAGCCTACCTATTCCACGTTGCTTAATTTCTAATCTTGCTTGAACATCTGATCTCATGCACAAGACCGCATTGCCGAACGTTAGCCCAGGAACCATGACCCCTTTCCATATTCCTCTCACAAATCATACCTCATGTAATTCCACAGTGCCCTATTTTTCATCACTGCTGCATTCCTGTTACCTTTAGTCGTCACGTATATTTCGTGTTCCCTCAGGTACTCGGTCCCATTGCTTATCCATACGCCCAAATATTTGTATTTATCTGTTATCTCTAGCGTCACCTCCTGTATTCTAAGCTCACTACCTTCGTTGTCATCGAAAATCATGACTGCTGATTTTTCCCTACTGAATCTAAAATCTAACCTATCTCCCTCATTACCGCAGATGTCCATCATTCTCTGCAAATCTTCCTTGTTGTTGGCCATTAGCACTATATCATCTGCGTACATTAATGCTGGTAGTGCCTGATCAATAAGTTTTCTTTGTTTGACTAAAGAGAGGTTGAAGCCCAGTCCACTTCCCTCTAATTTTGCCTCTAATCCTTGTAGGTACATCATGAATAATAAAGGTGACAGGGGGCACCCCTGCCTAAGCCCCCGCTTTACCTCTGCAGGCTTGGATACCTGTTTTTCCCACTTTATAACTACCTTGTTACCTTTATAGACACCCTTTAAAAGATTAGTGACTACATGTTCCACGCCTAGTGTGTCCAGTATTTCCCACAATTCCTCTTGAACCACGCTATCGTACGCTCCCTTGATATCCAAAAATGCTAGCCACAGGGGCCTGTGTTCTTTTTCTGCTATTTCGATGCACTGCGTCAGTGAGAACAGATTGTCTTCCAACCTCCTGTGTTTCCGAAACCCATTCTGCAGTTCCCCCATCACCCCCTCATCCTCTATCCAAATGAAAAGTAGCAGCGGCGCCACCTGGCGGCCTACGCGTGAAAGCTGACGCCGGAGGCCAGCCGGTCGTGCCACTAGATCATAGTCTAATTCACCATAGTTTTACTTAAATCTCAAAAAAACACAGGCTACGAAACGCCACACAGGCGGAACGGCACGAGCGTCACTCCATCCTCATCATCGCCTTCCTTCCCCTCAGGGCATGTGCATTTCCAACACGCTTATTTGAGTGATGTGGCAGGGTATCCATAGTTTATTTTTAATTTATTTAAGCTCACTACCTATCAATTCAGCTGTATCATTTTTTTGTTATCAAAGATTTAGTCTTGCGGGCTGATTTGATCTTTGTGGGAGCATATTTTGATAAAGAGTGCTGAGCGATTCTGCCAATGCTTGCCCATAATCTATCTACTGCTGAAACGGTATCATATTGCAAGAACGAGCTAAATGTGGAATAAAATTGATCTAGTTAATCAAAAAGATCACGTCATCGACATTGGCCCAGTCGAAAATTTGTGTACTCCCTTTTTATTCAGGCACGGTTGTGCCCAACAACAAGGAACGTTGAGTCACTCTGCGGTTCGATACATCACTGCCAACTTCCCACAAAATACTGTCTTCCGCTATGCTATCACTCACAAACGTCAAATCAAGTACATTCCTGCTTTTTCTTTGCATCACGTGTTGACTCCTGCATAAGCTGTCAAAGACTAAAGTCAATAAAACAAAGATCAAGCAGCTCATTTGCGCGATTCATGTCTGCAGGGAATCTCACGTTATACCAGCGATGTTGGAATCTCCCGTAAGGTTTTTCTTTGCATGTCTGCGTAAAATGAGCTTCCATATAATTTGCTGGTACGTGTCATGCGAAGCATTATGGGGCCGGTATATGGAGACTAAATTTATCTGTCGTTATTTTACACCAAAGAAAACGAACGTACTTTCTCACTGACACGAAAGTTTCTATTTGTCGTTTTTTTGCGCCAAGCCTTCAAGGGCCGAGACAACGTAAGCGTCAGTGCAACGCAAAAAGTAGTGTCTTTCTGAAAGCTGTCGTTTCGATTCTTAGTTGAACCTTAGTGTCACAACACAGCTCCTCGTCACGCACTCGTATCGCAACGCCTTTACAACTGGCCAGACTACAGCGTCAAGTCACCGAAAGTCCTCCTTCAGCCTTCCGTCAAGCTAGTGTCGATGTCAGTAGATGCGCCGCGGGTGAAAATTACTTTCACTTCGAAGTAAAAAAAAATATGTAGTCAGCAATAGCCGAGATTTTCATAGAGCAGTCTCTGTACAGAGGAGATTACAGCGGCCGAGTAAGCACGCTTAAAAAAAACGGTGTCAGCACACGGTAAGCGAGGGAACTCCCGAGCATTGTTTCTCTCCAGCCCCTTGTGTCCGCTTTGGCAAGCAAGAGTACCTTTGGATCCATGGAGTGGCCGTCCTTGAGCGGTTCCAGTGGGATGGGAATCCGGAAACAGTTCGGCGACTGCGGTGACGGCCGCACCACGCATGCCGAAACCACGGGCTCGAGCATCGGCACTCGTCACTCCGGCTCAGGGCACTCCTTGATCAGAAGAACTCGATCAGAAGGATACGCTGTTGGGCGATTGGGGAAATCATCATGAAAAATTAGACGAAAAAACACGGAACAACACGAAGGACAAACGTCCATACTAAAACTGAACTTGTTTTAAAAAAGAAACAACAACAACAAAAATTCGGCAGATCCCATGTACCTTGGGAGTCGACGTTATGCGAAGCATGCGGAGAGAAGGTGACCGTGTTATATTTTTTTTCTTATTGAGAGACACGTTTTGAAATGACGCTAAAGATGTTTGCGAATTCTGCACGCACAGACATGTGTTCAACTGTTGCCGATTGTTTGCTCTTGCACAACAGCCAATTGTTTGCTCTTGCACAACAATGCCAACACGAACATGAGGGCACGGCGGCACTCGTCGGAGCAGCATGTTTGATTCTGCTTGGCTTGTTGTGCAGGTTGTATTTTTGATCCGACCGCTTCCATGTGCCGAACAACCCGCTCATTCTGGGCCTGCGCTGTGGACTGCCGATTTATCGCACAAGTGGAAAACGCCTGCACGGACTGATCATCTTTTCATCGACTCAGCGGACGGGACACCGAATTGGCTGCACAACTCGGTGACGTTGACCATACAGGATATAAAGTCTCCGGTCGAGCCCTGTCCTCTCAGAGGGCACGGCGGCACTCGTCGGAGCAGCATGTTTGATTCTGCTTGGCTTGTTGTGCAGGTTGTATTTTTGATCCGACCGCTTCCATGTGCCGAACAACCCGCTCATTCTGGGCCTGCGCTGTGGACTGCCGATTTATCGCACAAGTGGAAAACGCCTGCACGGACTGATCATCTTTTCATCGACTCAGCGGACGGGACACCGAATTGGCTGCACAACTCGGTGACGTTGACCATACAGGATATAAAGTCTCCGGTCGAGCCCTGTCCTCTCAGAGGGCACGGCGGCACTCGTCGGAGCAGCATGTTTGATTCTGCTTGGCTTGTTGTGCAGGTCAGTTTTTACAACACGCTTTCTGGATTTCGTTCAAGTTCATACACTGTTATAGTGCTGCCGTGCCCTCAAAGATGTATTCATGTTGTCATAGATTGCTGGTCTGTTTTTCTGCTCCTGTTATGTGGCGATGTGGAAAGTAACCCTGGTCCCGAGATAGAACAAATGTTGAAGGATATTATGCTTCAGTTAAAAGAGCTAAAGGAAGCGGACACAAAGCGCGATGCCACACTTTCTGAGGTAAATGCGAAGCTGTCAAAACTAGACGAGGTTCTGAAAATATCGAAGGAAAATGAAGAAAAGATACAGAAGCTGGAAGGAACAGTACAGCGGTTGGAGAAGGTTTTGGCTGAGCAGGACCGGAGACTGAATGATTATGAAAATCGTTCACGCAGAAACAATGTAGTCGTCTTCGGAATTCCTGAGGAACCAAAAGAAACTAGGCAGGATCTAGAGGATAAGGTTTTGCGTAAGGTTTTCGGCGAAACACTTGGTGTTTCCGTCAGGTCTGTAGAACGAATTCACCGAATAGGAAGGCTGCAAAAAGACCGCCACAGGCCTGTTATCCTCCGGCTGTACGACTACAACGAAAAAATGGAATTGTTCAGGAACTGCCCAAAGCTCAAAGGTTCTGAAGTGTCAATCTCCCACGATTATTCTCAAGCCACACAGCGCATAAGAAATAAGTTGTGGCAATCTGGATTACAGGACAAGCGTACTGGTGATAAGATGCAATTGGTGCATGACAAGTTGTTTCTAAACGATAACGTTTATGGGTGGGACGACACAGCTGGTCGCAGGGTGTTTCTACGTAAGTCTTCCCGCGCGGAAAAATGACAAACCCAAAATAAAACTGAGCATGCGCAAAAGGCTTTCCGATTGCTGTGCCTGAATGCCCAAAGTGTATGCAACAAGCAAGAGCAACTCGAACACCTTTTGCTTTCTTACGACCCACACGTAGCAGTAATATCGGAGACATGGTTGCACCCTCAAATTCCAGATAATTGCATATTTCCTCCTTCACACACATGTTATCGGAAAGATCGTCAAACAAGAGGGGGCGGAGTTGCTATCCTTGTTAAACGCGAGGTATCGTCCGTTTCCTTGCCTGATGTTAATAGCTGCCACGAAAGTGTTTTTTGTAAAGCTGTAATTGCTGGTAACCCTATTATTATTGCGGGAGTCTATAGGCCCCCTGGCGCCCCACCGGCTTTCTTGATAGACCTGTACGAGCACTTAGAAAAATACCGAAATCAAAACATCATTATTGCAGGTGATTTTAATATGCCAGGCATGCATTGGGAATCGATGAAATGTGGTTCTATTGATGTGCAGAGTGCTGAAATATTACTAGACATGTCGCTTGCTTACTCTCTTACGCAAACAGTCCTTGATCCTACGCGCGTGACAAGTTCAGCTTCTTCAATACTAGATCTCGTTTTCTGTTCCTCAAGTTTTGAATCCTGTATGGCAACAGTTTTAGATGGCATTTCTGATCACAAATTGGTCAATTTCAATTGTTCTTTACCTCGTAGAACAAGGTCATCTAGACCTGAGCCCGTAGTTGTAAAACAGTATTCTGCTGCAGACGATTTCCAGATTGTTCACTACCTAGAAGAAGCTTTGCTATCATTTTGCGACGGCAGTGTTAACTCGCTATGGACACGATTCAAATTTTATTGCCACTTCTGCATTCGCAATTTCGTTCCAGATAAACTTAAAAAAGTTGGCCGTACAAACCCCTGGATAACGCGCGATCTAATTCACCTAAAACGCAAAATTAAAAGGCGAAGAAAGCAAAAAATAGTTAATGATGTAGTTCTGCACGATCTAAGAGATACTTTAGCATCCAAGTTGAAGGAGGCTAGGGAACATTATTACACCGAGACACTAGGCCGCTTTGCGGCAGAGAGTCCACGAAAATTTTACCAGTTCTTGCAAAACAAAGACAACCGTATCCCTGATGAAATAATGAACGGAGAAACCACTGTCACAAATAAAAACGAAATGGCAAACGCATTTAATTCCTACTTTCAGAGAGTTTTCTCAAGACCACAAAACTTGAGTATTATGACGGTGCCAGGTCCTTCAAGCCTAATAAATATATCCTTGGAAGGGGTGACAGAACTATTATTGCGGCTAGACGTAAAAAAATCGACCGGCCCTGACGGTATACCAGCTGTTTTTCTAAAGAGGTATGCTGAAATTATAGCTAGATTCCTAGTAATAATATTTGATGTTTCGATTAAAACTAGTTCAGTACCCGACGATTGGCTGCTAGCACGTGTAATTCCGGTATTTAAGAAAGGTAACAGATTATTAGTCAGTAATTATCGACCAATCTCCCTTACCTGTATTTGTTGCAAATTACTTGAACATATTATAGCGAAATATTTAAATACTTTTCTTGAACAAAATAAAGTAATTCACAGCGCGCAACATGGCTTCCGACGGGGATTATCTACCACCACACAATTATTAGCAACTGTTAACGAGTTCTCCAAAGTTCTGGACAAGTCTGGACAGGTTGATGTCATCTTTATGGACTTTTCCAAGGCCTTTGACAAGGTCCCGCATATCAAGCTAATAGATAAGATGAAAATTATTGGCATTCCTCCGGAAATAATTAACTGGGTCATAGCATACTTAACGAACAGAAAACAGTACGTAGATATAAACGGTTTCACCTCTGGTTATTTGGGGGTGTTATCTGGAGTCCCGCAAGGGTCAGTTCTCGGGCCTATACTATTTAATATTTATATTAACGATTTAGTTCAAGCCATCCGACCTGGCGTGTCTGTTAAGTTATTTGCAGACGATTGCATAATTTTTAATACCATAAATTCTATCTCTGACCAGCATGACTTGTGTGAGAACTTAATCTACATAAAAGAATGGTGTAAAAAGTGGGAAATGGTAATTAATTTAGAGAAAACTGTATATTTATGTCTCAGTAACAAAATCCGAAAACTGGAGTTTACTTATAATGTAGGTGGATACGCTATCAGGCAAGTAGAAGAATTCAAGTACTTGGGCGTAACGATTACATCGAAGCTTACCTGGACAGCACATATTGATGACATATGTTCTGCTGCCAGGAGAAAATTAGGCTTTCTAAAATATAAATTGGGTCGTTCTTCTAGTTCACTAAAACTTAGAGCCTATAAAGTCTTAGTTCGTCCTTCTCTTGAATATGCCAGCATTGTGTGGGACCCCCACACAGCTGGTAATATACAGAAAATAGAAAAAATACAACGATTAGCTGCTCGATTTATATACAACCGGTATAGATGTCGCGATTCGCCGTCAGCCCTGTTGCAGGATGCGAACCTCCAACTTTTGGCCGATCGAAGGAAAACTGCACGGCTTAACTTTTTCCGCCTTTTATACTTTTCCAGATCAGGATTGCACGCACCAGATTACATAACACAGGACACAACCAGGTCTTCACGTCATAAACATAGTCGTAGCATTACACCTATATTTGCACGCACTAACATTTACAAGTATTCATTTTTCCCGAGAACTGTCTCTGATTGGAATGCTCTGCCCCATGATTCCCCTATGCTCAACACGCCGAGATGAAACTATACCCTTTTTTTGTTGCTTAAGTCTGCTTCTTTGCCTGTATTTGTCCCTTGTTTTTCACGAGTTTTTAATGTACATGAATTTTGTTCTGCAGCGAATGTATACTGCAGCGGAAGTGTATGTGTGTAGAAGAATTTTGTACTGTATTGCCCTCTCCTGCATGGACCATACTTGGTCCGCAGTATGTGATAAATAAAATAAATAAAATAAATGAGTATTAGAAGCACCAGAAGCGATAAGCTGATATGAATAGGTGCTGTTCGCGAGGATGGTAGTGCTGCACACTGCTATCTTATTTGAATTCATGACAAACCTTTCGTGCTGTTTCACATGTTTTTTGAACCTCGTGCCTATGTGTGAGTCACCGTGAATGAAAATTCCAGCGTTCATTTGGTTTTTCTT